TATATATATATATATATATATATATATATATACATACATACACACACACATATACATACATATATACACACACATATACATACATACACACACATATATATATACACATACATACATACACACACACACACACACACACACAGACAGACAAAACCGCGAGCACGTGGCGACTGAACAAGGCCACCTCACCTCGCGCCGGTGCGGCTGGGCAACGAGGCTTTCCTGCTTTCCTTTTTCTTCAGCAGCCTGCTGTGCTGCTGCAGAAGCTATGGGCGCCCCGCGTGAATTCTGGAGCTGCTGGAGTGGGGAATGGTTGAAGTTGCTAGGAAAAATGACCCGAAAAGTTAGGCAGAAGAACTGCAAAGACTCTCAAAAGGAGGACAACCCACCTCAGGTGCCCTCAAAAAAAGACGCTCCCTCCACATTCAGGGGGAGATTCTGAGGAGGAAGCGTCCAGAAGTTTTGCAGCATGATCACTTCAGACCCCTCCTAGCCCCCCCCCCCCGATCTCCTGGTGGTTGGACTTCCGTGTAGCAAAAAAGAAGAAGAAGAAGCCTCTGAGTCTCGTTAGGTCTCTCTCTCTCTTTCCTTTTTTTTGAGCCCCAAAGGTCTGTTCCGCGCACGGATTCTGGAGGCGCATGGAAGTTGCTTTCCAGCAGTGGTGTATGAACCATTAAGCAGACTAAGCACGTGCTTAGGGCACCAGGCCCAAGGGGGCACCACAAAGTTGAGATTTTTACAGTTTCTACAAAGGAAGTGGGGGGCATCAAGATTGGTCAGTGCTTAAGGCACCAGCGAGCCTTAAATCCGCCACTGCTTCCCAGGGAAGTTGTGAACGCGGACTTGCCGCTTGAAGGAGGAGGGGAGGGGGGGAAAAGCGCGCGCGTTTGTAGAGTGCGCGCGTTTCTCCCACCGTCAAACTTCGTCCCAAGTAAACGCGTTTTAAAACTCAACGCTGCCAGTTTTTGGTTTAAAAAAAGAAAAAACCTCTTAGCCTCCTGGGAAAACTGGAGCCCGGCTGAATGCAGAACCTCAAGCTTTGATTTTTGGGGAGGGGATGGGGGAGGGTTCTCCCTTTTACATACTCGGCGAATTCCGTGACCAAACGCGGAAGCTATCTAGCTAAATAAATAAATAAAAATAAATAAATAAATAAATCCCAGCCAGATTTACTTTGATCTAAGGCCGCGCTGCTCTTCCTCCCTCCCTCCCTCTCGTTCTTCCTCTTCTCCCCCCCCTCCCTATTCTGGGAGCTCCTGACTCAATTGCGGCTTCAAAGTTTCTGGTCCGCATCGTTTTCTGCCCTACTGCATACCCACGGACCCAGGAGTGTCGCAGACCAGTAAAAAAAAAAAGTGTGTGTGTGTGCCGGTCCTGGTGAGAGAGAGAGAGAGGGAGCGCGGCGATTCAATTGCCTGGAGCAGGCTGGGTGTGGGGTTAGCTGTCTATTGCAGCAGGTAATGTTGAGCGCTAGGACCTGGGAGAGCCCCTCAGCCGCCCGCAAGCTGGACTACCTTAAACCCAGCCCAATGCCTCTTCCTGCGCCACTTTTCCCTGCGTGCTTGGATGGGAGAGCCGCAGCAGCTCGGGGCTGGAGTATAACATCGCCCGGCCAGCTCTGCCGAAGCTACACCTGTTCCGAGGCAACTCGAAGAAAAGATCCCCGCACTTGGACGGAGCTGCCTTCCCTCTTGCCTGGGTGGTTCGAGGCTGGAACGTCGGCCGGGCTGAACCGAGGAGCATCCGCGTAGAGAGAGAGAGAGAGATTCTGGATAATAGATCTGGACGCCCAAAAAGTTTTTAAAATATTATTATTTTTAAGAAATCCCCTTATCCTTTCGGGGGGAGGATTTACCTCGGCCAGCCAATGTGAATGTCCCTCCCTTATTCTTCTCCCCCCTTCCTTTCCCCTCCTTTTTAGGATTCATGCTGATAGATGCAGTCTGGTATAGACTAAAAAGAGCGCATGTCTTTGGGGAAGCAGATCCCATAAAAAAAGGGGGCCTGGCGTCCGCCGGGCATCTGAGATGCCATATATCGATAATGTATTTGCCCACTGCCCTCTGTAACGCCTAAGGCGCCGAAGTTGCTATGGTCATTCCGCTCCTAAGCCCAATGGAGAAACTACGGATTTTGATTCTTTTCACGGCTGAATGGGCAGAAGACCTCACCGCCTGCTAAGAGCCCCGGGAACATAGACCTCGTCCGCTGCTTCTAGACCCACAACCCGAGGGGGGCCGAGAGAGCTATGTCCCGGTGCGGAGCGAGCGCGCTGCTTTTTTCAGACTGAGTGGGCGATTTGACCTTGAACCCAAAACAGCGGGCTACTTTATTCCGGTGTCCTATTTTTTTTTTTTTTAGTCTGGAATCCGTGCGATTACTGATGGATTAAAACAGAAATCTCTTTCCCCCTCCCCACCTTCCCTCAACGTAACTGCAAGTGGAAGGGGGAAGAACGGAGTGGAGACACATTAAAAAAAATTGAAGAAAAAAAATCTTAGGTTGGGCGCTAGCAATTACAATTTGCTGCCAACCCCCCCCCCAAAAAAACCTCGTTTACCTTTCCCCCCCTCCTCCAACCCTCTCCGCTCCTGATGGCTCCTTTAGGTGAAGTTGGGAACTATCTCGGGGTCCAAGACGCCGGCCCCTTTGGGAACGTGCCCGTCTTGCCGGCGGACAGCCCGGTTTTGTTAAGCGACCACCTAGGGCAGTCCGAAGCAGGTGGACTCCCCCGGGGGCCTGCGGTAACGGACTTGGATCACTTAAGAGGCATCCTGAGGCGGAGGCAGCTCTATTGCAGGACTGGATTTCACTTAGAGATTTTCCCCAATGGTACGATCCAAGGAACCAGGCAAGACCACAGCAGATTTGGTAGGTATGGGCGGTTAACCCCCTGGTGGCCGTGGGAGGGCTATGCCAGAAGTCCTTTCCTGCGCAAGGTGGGCGGCTGGAGGGGGGGTGGCGGAGAGGAAAAAGAGTGGATGCTGCTGGTGGATGGCATTGTAGTGAGAATTTGCAGATCCCTGCGAGTGTCCAAGTGGGGTGGGGGATAAAAAAGCAGTATAGCGTGGTAAAAGCGATTGATGCCGGCCGCTCTTTCGCTTAGGAGTAAATGCAAGTGTTAATAACGAGAGGGAAGGGTCCCTTCTCCGCAGAGGTGTAGCCCGGCTTTTCAGTGAATCAGTTTCCAATCCTGGCAGGAATTCTCTGGCTCTTCAGCCCAGGCGTCTCTATTAACTCTTAAGTAAGCAGACGTGCCGAGAAAATTGGGCTTTTTCACTTTCACCATTCTGTAAAGTGTTTACACGATCTTCCCTCCCCTACCCGCTTTTCCTATCTGCTCCTATCCACCTGCTTAAACTGCAGCAGAACGTCTGGAAGAGCCGTTTTCGGCCGTCTTTCGTCCCTACACTAGCTCTTCGTTGCTGAAGGGACCCCCCCCTTTTTTTTTGAGAGAGAGAGAGAGAGAGAAGGGTTGTCCGCACACAGCCAGCCCCTCTGTCTGTCGGTACCGGCATAATAAAACAAGACGTTTTGGTCCCGAAATAATTCTAGCACGAAAGGAAAGGAAGCCTTCGCGTATCTTCGCGTTTCTGTTGCATGGGGTAGATATCCGCATGCTTAGATATATTCCAGCGTCAAATGAAAGACCCGCGCTGGTTAGCAGCTGCACGCAGACTTCGCTTAAAGTTTGGGTTTTTTTTAAAGCCCTCTCTCAGGAAATTTTCTGTGACTCAGCATAGACAGCCGGCGAATTCAGCCTTCCCCAACTAGCCGCACTGGAATCGCAAATGCCTTTGTGTGTGTCTCTAGCCCCCACCCCCCAAATAGCGTGATTTGGGAATGATGGGAGTTATAGTTCCTGTCTCTTGTGCCAGGGAGGACGCCGTGCCACGCATTCAAAAGGCACCGTCCGCGCGTTTTGATTGATATCGCAGGGTTTAAGCTCATGATTTTAATTGTACAGGCTGAACTTTGGAGACTGGAGAGAATGAAGCAATCCCACTTCGGAGAGCCGAGTGCTGTTGGGAAGGACTTGACTGGAAATCCACCTGACTGCACTTGGCCCAGATCATAAAAAGATAAAAAAGTTCAGTGGTGGTTTCCCTTCCCTTCCCTCGGTCCTGCTTTAAAACCAGTTGTTACTGGACAATATATATCCATTTCGTATCTTTTATTGCTTTCGAGAGCCATTGGGAAATGCCGCAGTTCTGTAACGAAAGGGTGTCCTTCGAAGGGGGAAAACGTGAACTAGGTCTTGTTAAGCCACCCCACCTCCTTTTTATTCTTGCCTGAATTGGGTTTCCTTATCTCTTGAGGATATACACCCGCTTTTCGCCCCCTCCCTCTACCCCAACGCGGTTTACGAAGAGAATCAGACTTGCGGAGCTCCCAGGAACCCCTTTCCCTTAATAAAACGCCGGGGCGTGCGTGCGACGTTGAAAGGCATCTTAAGAGGCGGTAGCAATTCCTGGAGGGGAGAAAGTTGGGCGATTTAGCAGGAATTGGGTTTGGAGCCCGCTCCGTCCTCCCTCCGCACGCCCCTTTTGCTCCGGAATGGCTTTTTTTTTTTTTTTTTTGCGTGGCCCTTATCATGCAGCGGTGGAGATCTGGTGCAGGGTGTGAGCGTGGCTGTATGTATATAATGTATGAGATGCGTATAGAATGCATGCATGCGCGCGCTCAAAGACCGGACTGGAGGCTTTACGGTACATTTTTCGTGTGCGAAGGTCGGAAGCGACGGCATGTTAAAAGGCTGCAATCGGGTCTTCTGACGCTCAGCACCAGTCCGCGGGCTCAGCCGGTAGCAGGTGTACGGTGGCCGAGCTGAAGCTGCTGCTTCCTCGCGCATTTGCGCGGCGGCAACAGCAGCAGCAGCTCGAAGACAATGCCGCGGGGTCCTAAACTCCGCCAGTTCCCCTATCACCACCACCCCTTTCCGCTTGAGGTGGCCCTGAATTAAATAGCCCCCTTTACAGAAGGACAGATCTTTAAAAAAAGGAAAAGGAAAAGAAAGAAATCCCAAGGGGCACTGGCTATGCCAGCGGTTCAGAGCAATGCATCATTTGCAGTTAAATTCAAGAGCCTTTAAATGGCTATCCACCTTACCTGCTACAACTAGGGGCTCTTAAAAGTGGAGAAGACCTTTATTGATTTTGAAGGGTGGCAGTCTAAGAAAAGTGAGAGTTAAGTAGCAGTCGTAGGATGTAGTAGTAGTAAGAGGATGGGAAGCATCCAGAAAATCCCAGGAGAGCAGATCAAATGGCTAAGAAAACAGTGGGCTTTTGCACTGTTATCAGGGAAACACTATGAGCTGTCCAGGTAGAGTGGGAATTTGACTCAAGGAAAATTTAATTAGGGGACCATTTATTACACAGAATGGGGAAATTATGCCAGCTAATATTCTGTTTTATAAATCAGAAATACTGGGGTTTGCTTTTGTTTTTCTTCTTTTAATGTAACAAAAATCCAGCTGTTTTCACTTGAAAAGAATAACTTTGCAGTGGTGCACAAGAAAAATCTGGAAGATTATGTAAAGTTATAGGGCTGGATGTGGTGATGTCCTCTTTTCTAGCAGGATGTTTGCAGAGTTGTCAAAAAAAAAAGTCAAGGAGCATCTACCACCATGCGATCCAACCCCTTCCTTCTCTTTTAAATGTTTATCACAAAGCATCCTGAAAAAAGGTGGTGCTTAGATTGCAGCATATAGGTATGAACACCACCTTGAATTTTTTGACAACACCCCCCCCTCTAATACCAGTAGAAAACATCCTTGTTTTCTACCCGTATTAGAATTCAGATTCAGTAACTTTGCACTGGGTAATTGTGGCTGCAAAAGTCCAAAATGTATAGAAAATGGCAGTGTGGTCAATGTCTATTAGTAATAAGTAATAAATATGGGGTTTTGCTTCATCACAGCAAATCATACAGTGAAAATTATAAGGTTGCAAACCCCATGGCCACCCATTTAGGACAGATTCCACTGAATTCAGTAGCTATTTACATATAACTTGTTGCTCCATCATTAACTGAATAAATCCAACTTCCTGAGTTGATATAGGCCATATTTTCAGCATGCATACTGTGTGAAGCAAACCCACAGGTGCTATTTCTGAAACTCTGCAGCCTGGAAGCTGACTTACAGTATGTCCAGCTGTTGTAAAGGAATCCTGATTGTAGATGAACTAGATTAATAAAGCTATAAACATGAAAGAAAGAAAAACTGCCTGCACAATTCAGATTCCTGGAATGGCACCTGCAGAGCACAGGTGACTCCAACAAAAGAATAAAAACCACCTGTGGAATACATTATATCTTTTAGAGTGGGGGAAACCTAGGACTGAGCCTCCCTGAATATCCCTGGCAAGATACCAAGTTTTATATATCTCGACTTCTTTTATACCTAGTTTGGTTTCTAGATTGTACAGAGACCAGGGCAGTCATGCAGTTATATAAAAGCTGTAGAATATGCTTTTTAAAAAAGCTTGCCTTTTTATTAAGATTGAAGCAGGAATTCATTACCATAAAAATGGAGGGTGTAATCCCATCCCTAATTTATACTTGGATCCATTCTTCGCCTCAAATAAGATATAGCTGACAGGAGATTTCTATTCAATCCAGAAGAATACTATTCTAGTATGTTTGGGAACTGCAGTTAGTAGCACAACTAAGATATTGATAATAGCTTCTGAAAAACACTTCCCCAGTGCCTTCCAGATATGCCAATTCCAAATTTCCAGCATATTTAGAAAACACTAGGTCTGGACAGGCTGTTCTGCAGTCTTATCTCTGAATGATTGTATATAGTTTTCAGATTATTTACCTGTTCATTTAGACTACCACCAGATCGGTACTGAAAAAAATCAGGCTATTAGTGGCTACTAGCCAACAAATAAAGATTTTTGCATTTGATATAAAGTCCATTGTAGCATCATGCCAAAGAATCTAACATATAGATTCATTGTGGTGTTTACACTCTCCTCACATTAGTAAATGTGTTCAGCGATGTAAAAAAAAAAACCTTATGTGCCAGTTTTATCTTGCTGTAAAATTTACACCTTTCCTGCAACATGTTTTAGTCTTTTGGAGTTGAAAACTCTGTAATGCGATTCTGGGTGACCAAGGCCGGGTTTTTTCCCCCCAACCTGTCACTATACAAAGTATCGCAGTCTCTCAAAATTTGGCCACCATGATCTCTAGAAGTGTGGTGGAAAGGGATGCCTATTGCGTTGGCCCTACTCTCCACTACTACACGCATCCCTCGTGGTTTTCTCTTTAATCTAATCTAATAAATTGAAAACTGCCCCTCCCCTTCCCGCAGTTAACTGCTGGCAAAAGCAGGAGAAAGAAAATGGACTAAACCGCAAAGTAACCATCCACGGTTTTAGTTGTCCAATAAATTGAGGCCGAGTAATTAAAAGGCCGCGGAACCGAGACAGAACGCGCGCGCCATTGGGAGCCGCGCGCTCTATCCAGGGAGCTCTTGTCTACGCAATAGCGGGCAGAAGGGAGAACCCAGCAGCTGCGTGACAGGAACGGGTTCGCGCCTCCCGGATAAGGTTGGCAAGGGCCAATTCTGACGTAGGGAAAAACCTTGGTGCAAGGTTGATGCCCAAGCGCCGTCCCGAGTGGGAGCGGGGGGCCCCGCACATCTCCGTGAAGTGCGGAACGTCCTCCGCACGGCGAGTCCTTCAACCGCCTGGCAAATCTGCAGTGCACCCACGAAAACTAGGGAGCTGGGCCACAGGGATCCGGGGAAGGTCGACAGGGGTGTGGGGTGTGGCAAGGAAAGGAAAGCTCTAACTCTTGGACGACCCCCAACTGGCGTCTGGAATTGTGCAGCGCAGAGATGGGGGAGCCTTGTTCTCACG